GCATCAAGTGGAATCATATTTTAAATTAATTTACAATTTGAGATGAAGTTTTATGAAGTGCAATTTTACTCGATTTACTTAATATTTAAAAGCTGAGTTACAGAATAATTCCAGTTAAAAATAATATTAAAAATTGTGCAAACATTTTTTGTTTTTATTAATACATTAATCCATTCAATTGAATTTATAACTAAATATTTTCCATATGATCTTTATGACATTATATATTAATATAAATCTATTCATTATTTTTCTTTGCCATTGTTGTTGTTCATTAACAAGCCAAATTATTAAGAAATTATCTTTTAAAAAAACTTACTACCACACGACTTGAACCTCTCACTTATTTATCATAGAAACACGCGCGGGAACGTTGAGGTTTAATTTGAATAAAAAAATTAAAGAATTTCAAGTTTATGTAATAAATTTTTATTTAATTATAATAAAAAGGTTTTACAAAAATTTCAAAATAAAATTTTAATAAATAAACTATTAATTTTGACGAAATTTTAGAACAATAATAGCATGTATAGTAGTAGTCTTAAATTATATGATTTATTTTATATTTATTTATATATAATATACATAGTTATAATTATTGTTATATTTTTTATTTCTTCTTAAATATTTATAAATATAGATACAATGCGTTTTATTAAAACAATAATATTTCTTATAAAATAAAATTGAAAAATATCGAAACAATAAATAATTTTTTTACACATCATCATAAAATCTTAGCTATTCAATTACTTATTTAGAAATATATGTATATAGACACTAAAACTATTTAAGTATCAAATTGAATGAGTGTTGTTAAAAATTTTATTGTAAAAATCGAATGTCGTAGAATTGTTAATAAATGCTGATATCATCGTAACAGTAAGTTATTTAAAAATTTACGTTCTTCATAGGTACTTACATGTAAACTTCAAAAACTATAATTTATTGTCGTTTGAGTTGAATTTTACAGTCGTTCCTTGTGATTGAAAAATAATATACAACTCTAATGAATTCAATGAAATGCAATTATGTATCATTATATATCTTTTTACTTTGTCAATCAATTTGTAACTAAGTTTTATTCTATTAATAACAAGTATCTACAACATGATTACGAAACCTTTATAAAACGTTATAAAATTTTTAATAAGTAAGTGTAGAAAATTATCTTACGGGTGAGTTGTCATTAAAACCGTGATAGATTAAAAATCTAAGCATGAAAAATATTATTTATACGTACATGATTTACAAAATTAACTTTTATCTCCTATTTAATGAATACTTTTCCTATATTCGTATGCTAATGTAGTTATAAAGAGTTTTATTTCTTATTTATTATCAAAATAGTATTTTTTAAATATTAAAATTTTAAGTAAAAAATTCATTTTCAATCTATGTTTATTTATTAATCGACAAATATATACTAATAAACTTAATATATTTTTAGAAAAATGTTTTTTTACCAAACATAATGTTGTTAATTTTATTATAAAAATTATTGATATCGATCGTATACTCTATTAGATTTACCTGCGAATAAAATTTTAAAAATAGAAATTCGTAACCAGTTTTATATTCGAAATATCAAATTGTTTATATTTTACAATTTTTTTTAGTCTATTTTATTATATATATATAAATTGATTATTTATGTTTTAAAAAAATTTGTTTATACATGTAACTACACATATTAATTTTGAATTTCTTGAACCACTAAATATATAAATATATATAATGAAATGGAATAAAATAAATATATAAATCTGTATAGATTATAAAGTTAGTGATTTTTTAATAATCTTTTTCGTTAAAAAATGAATGCAATAATCTATTAAAATAATAATATCAAATAATTACAAAAAAATTTTATATTAAAAATATTTACCATTATAGTGTTGTAAGCATATTTGTGTAGATTTTATGAGATGAATCAATTATTTATGTAATAAATTATCTTAAATCTATTGTGAGCATTAAACTACACATCGACAAATTAGAAAAATGTACTTTCCCTTATAGAAATATATGTGAAATCTTAAAATATTCCGAATCATCCAAGTTTCATTCAAAATCATATTTATCTATAAAAGATAAATACATATACAATAAATAAATTGAATAGATTCTCGACTTATGCTCCATAGTTATTTACGCTTCATCATAACATTTACTCATAATAGTAAAGTTTGTAGATCTATCCAAATGCATTTCTTCTTTATTCTCTCTCTCTCTCTCTCTCTCTCTCTCTCTCTCTCTCTCTTTATCCTTCTATATCGATCTCGCTCAAACATTCATACTACCTTTCAACGTCTATTATTCTCTTTTTCACTCGTTTTCTTTTATCTCAATGCGTTTGTCTTTTTCTATCGAATATATAGGTACATGAATGAAATAAACGAGTTATAGAACTATTAAAAATGGGTATATATACATTTATCTGCGAGCACATGAAATTTTATGCATTTAGCAAGAGAGAAAGTTCAGTTATGAACTCTTTTACAGACTAAAGAATAATCAACCCCTCTAATGACAATTACATGATGCAGTTTTTAATTCTTCCGCTTTTCAACTTTCGACGTACATGCAATACACATTGCAAATATTAAATCTTTTAGACATAATTTTACACAATTCAACATTTAAATATATCCTAGAAAATATTATAATATTGAATATAAAGATCCATTTATTTTATATTCATTACTATATAAAATTATCATAAGATATTTTAATAAATCGTGTTATACTACTTAGTGTTCGATTTGTAAATATTATACGAATAATAATCGTTTAAATTTATTTTTAATTATAATTGTTTACAAATGTTTCTGAAAAAATTCTAAATTTGAATATATATTTTTTTCTTTTATATTTTGAACACTAAAATTCATATAATAAACTGAAATTATTTATGCAAAAAAATGTAATCTTCATTTTATTATCGAATTTATTACATAAATATTAGATAAAAGATTTATCAAAATAGCCAAATGCATATATTTAGTAAAATTAAATTAAATTATAACATTAAATCACTTGTGAAAATCTTTTAAGTATATTTTGGACAAAATATAAAGTGAAGAATTCAGGAAATTTTAAAGATTATGTAAATATTATAAATATACTTTAATCAAAGTATATAATTAATTTGCTTACATAGATATTTTATGTATATATTAGTATAGATATTTCATGACTTCTATCTGAAATTTAACCAACTGTTAAATATTCACCATGCCGGGCATATATAAAACGTACACTTAAGAAAGAGATGCAACATATATTAACAGACGATATAAATCAAATTGAACAAGCAACGTACAAAAATAAAAGATTTATTCATTAAAAATATTCTTTACGCATTTCATTTCAAATCAATTTTCGAGGAATTTTAACATTTGCTGAAATACAATAATAAATTTACTATTTGTTTAAATTGTGTTTTAATTTATTAATCCTTCCGCTCAAGATGTTTTTATCGTCATCAGTTTTCCTACGACAAGCAACGAACGCTTACCGCATGTAACTACGGTAATAGGCATTGCTATGCTTAAATTATGATATTATTATATATTCATAACCATAAAAATAATTTATAATAATATAAACTTTTTGAATAATATAAATTTGAATAATATAAACTTTGGACAATATTTTAATAAAATTGCTAATTTACTAAATTTTATAATATAAGTTATATATACTTATTTCTCATATTTATAGCTTCAATAAATGTTAAATTACACTGGAATAAATAGAATTTAACAATTTTTAACATTTTATGTGAGAAATATCAGAACAAAATAGTAAATTTGAAATTTGAATAGTTATTGTATTGAAGATTATAATTATTAAATTAAATTAAGTAAGAATTAAGTAAGTATTGTATTAAGTAAGAAAAATACTAGGTTATAAGTAATACAAAAATTTGAACCAAATTAAAGTAAAAATCAATGTTTATTTAAAAAAAATATATATATATTTATATATGTATACAGACATATGTGCACGGGAACGTTTTCATTTATTCTTTTTTGTAGTGTAAGTGAAAATTACTATGACATTGATCGTGCATTATAGGAAACATTTTATAGAAAATTATGTTTTTAATTGTTTCTATCTAAGTTGAATAGACGTATCTATAATATAATTTTAAAATTAAAACTTTAATATATTAAATAATTAACATAAATAAATAAATATATATATATATATATATATATATATATATATATATATATATATATATAAATTCAAATTATATTTCTTATCCTAAAATAAATCAATAATATCTTTATAAATATTAAATTCAGGAAACTTTTGTTCATTCTTACAATTTTATTTAGTAAATAACTCACCTATTAAAATATTACGTATGTAAAATAGATATTAAAATAATAACAATAACTTTTTGTATAAAAATGTTTCGTTTTATTTTTTATAGAAAAATAATAATGAAAAACATACAAAAATCAATAATATTAGGTATCTACAAGCTAAAAATCGTACATTGTTTAACAAAAGTTATTTACAATTAAAATAAAAACTTAGGCCAATATAACTATTTATAAAACATACAACACGTAAGCAATTCCAAGCATTCGTTACATAGTATAATCACTTATTTTATTCTTCCAGTACACTAAAGTTTAGCGTTAAATTTTCTTTTTACATGTATTTCACTAAAAATCACCAAATATATCACTGGCTTCGCTTTTCCAAAACTTCGTTTAATTTAATAAAGAATAGCTTCCAGCATTAATTTATTTAACAGTCCATTATTATTAATTTCACTTAAAATCATATAAAGCTTCTACTATTGAATAAATCGTGCAATCTCCTAAAAGTGTTACATATATAAAAAATTATATTTTTTATATTTTCTATGGCCACGTTAAATATCATTTTATATACCAAGTTGCAGCATTACAAAGTTTAAAATTAAAAATAAACACAATTTATATTATAAATGATATTTATAATGTTGTATTAAAAAATGCCGAGTGTATAATGATTCCGATGCAAACATTGTGTTATAGTTAGAATATCGTAAGATACTATCAATATTAATTTTTTAAAGTTTAAATAAAAATTAATATTAATACTTGCAGGATGTAATGGTAACGTTATTTTAAGTTTTGTACAATATAGTTTGTTACCTACGAGAGAATGAAGAAAATTTTAAGCATTTTATCAAAATTGCCATATCAAAGTGCCGGTCGATTATTCATTTATTACAAATATATAAAATATGTCAGAAAATCAGTAACAAATTATAAATCTCTTCCCACTCAATACTTATACCCTTCGTCATGATTATTTTGTTCATCCTGAACCCAAACGTTCTCCCACACGGGTTTCCATATTTGTTTCCAAGAAGGAACCTGAATATCTTTCCACACTGGAACCCATCGAGATTTCCATTCGCTCTTCCACACCTGCTTCTTATCTGTTATCCATACTTGCTTTTTTTGATTGTTCCAACTCTGAACGGACTCTTCATGCCAAACAAGTTTCTTTTCCGTATGCCATTCTTGCTTTTTCTCCGTTTTCCACGCTTGCTTCCATTCGGCAACCCATTCAAGCTTTTTATTCGTAGACCAACTTTGCTTCTTCTGTGTTCGCCAAACCTTTTTCCAAATTGGCTTCCAAATTAACTTCTTTTTCCAAAGATCGTGACTAGTGTATTGCCAACCATGACTGTCACTACCAAGATTACGTTCACCGGGGATACCTATTTTCAACCATTCGGGCACCCAAACCTTTTTCCAATCCGCTACCTGCACATCTTTCCAAATAGGAGTTTGGACTTCTTTCCATACGGGTTTCCATACTTTTTTCCAACTTGGAACCTGAACTTCCTTCCAAACTGGTATTTGTATTTCCTTCCACGTTGGCTTTTGAACCTTCATAAAACAAAAGCTTTTATTACTAATGGACCCATGGCTTTTTAATCACTAACGCTTACATGTCTCATTTTTGCAAATACATTAGATATTGTACCGCAATTATATTTATGATATTTATGCAACACATATAGATTCTATATACTAAAATTATTTTTATGCTTTATTTTATGTTTGAAATAATATAATGTATAATTGTATAATGCATCACGTCCACACACCCCTCCCCCCTCTCTCTCTCTCACTCTCTCTCTCTCTCTCTCTCTCTCTCTCTCTCTCTCTCTCTCTCTATACATAAATCATACAATTTAAAAATTATTCTATTTTTATTATATCAAATGAGAAATTAATTTTCTTACCTTTTTCCAAACAGGCACTTGTATATCTTTCCACACTGGTACTTGAACCTCTTTCCATGAAGGAACTTCAATTTTTTTCCATTCTTGTTTCCAAGTCATCTTTGATTCAGTCTTCCAAACCTTTTGCCATTCAGCTTTCCACGTTAATTTCTTCTTCCACGAACCTGCAGCTTTTTGCTGAGTAGGAACACCATACTGAGGAGCTGGGGGGCCGTATTGAGGAGAAGGACTTTGAGGTAGAGACTCTGGTGCACCGTAAGAGTTGGATGGTGCTGGTGCTCCATATGAATTGGATGGTGCTGGTGCTCCATAAGAGTCGGATGGCGCTGGTCCTCCATATGAATTGGATGGTGCTGGTGCTCCATAAGAGTCGGATGGCGCTGGTCCTCCATATGAATTGGATGGTGCTGGTGCTCCATAAGAGTCGGATGGCGCTGGTCCTCCATATGAATTGGATGGTGCTGGTGCTCCATAAGAGTCGGATGGCGCTGGTCCTCCATATGAATTGGATGGTGCTGGTGCTCCGTAAGAGTTGGATGGCGTTGGTCCTCCATATGAATTGGATGGCGCTGGTGCTCCGTAAGTGTTGGCCGGAGCTGCTGATCCATAAGAGTTTGATGGTACGGGTGCTCCGTAAGAATCGGATGGAACCGGTGCACCATAAGAATCAGAGGCGTGCCCTATGGCATTATTGCTAGTAAATGACTGACTACTACTGAATCCGCCAGAACTACCATGGTCAGGAACACCGTAATTAGATGATGGTACTTGTGGCGCCCCATATGAATTACTTAACCCACTATCTGGTGCTCCATAGGATGAGGGAGGCGATTCGTACGAAGAAAGTGGCGCTCTATAAATATTAATACTTAATGATAATTAAGTAAATTGGAGGATCAATTAACAATAGTATTTAATGAAAGCGTTCTTATTTTATAGATTTTAAGAACATAAACTGGAAATACGCATTTAATAAATAATATATAATTAAAGGATACAATTGCAAAAGGTTTTTAAAAAATATAATACAAAGAAGGTCTTGATAACTGTTTTCAAAATATTTAAGCAAAAAAAAATTTATGTTTAATTTATAATTATACCAATATTTGTATATATTCAGTAACTACTAAATTTGTATTAATAGAAAATTCGTACAAATTTTACTTCTTATTCATTTTATTCACTAAATAAATCAATTTATATAAATATTTTATTAATTTTATTACAAAAACGATCATTATGTTATAGATTTGATTTAAAATTTATTATTATTATTATTATTATTGTTATTGATGCACTGTATAGAAAAAAATATTAATATAATGCCATTAAACATATAATGTTATTTTATAAAATTTAATAAAATAAAATTTTTATAAAGATGATAATACATACTCTTTCTTAAGCCTAATCGGCTCACCAACAGCAATGGATACAAGAAAAAGATATCGTAGTAAAATCTATAATAATAATAAAATATAATTAATCGTTAAATAATTAGAAAGTTAACATTAAAGAATTGCGATTTATTTATTGATTGCCTAATTCGAACAATAAAGGATTTATTTTCAATTATGTATTATACTGTTATATTATTATCTTATTATCTTAGATAGAGATGTAAGCTGAAACTTTTGAAATTTATAATTTACTTATATTAATATTATTAATTTACTTATTTGTATTTTTATATTTCAATACTATGAATTTTTGTTTTATTTGTAAAAGCTTATTCGGACGAGTATTCGTAATAAGCAGAATAGTTTAATAATTGTTTACTAAATGTTCTTTGCGCTAATGATGATGATAATGATGATGATGATGATTATTGTTATTATAATTGTTGTTGTTGTAGTTATTGTTGTTGTTGTTGTTGTTATTATTATCGTTTAGTCTACAGTCTTCGTTTTACATGTCTTATGAAAATAGAATTTCGTTAAAATGTACAATGAAATTTCTTTATTGCATATTTCCATTTATTTATTGGCATATTTAATAGTCAATATATATATATATATATATATATATATATATAAATACAAAGTTATGTTAAATAAATAGATTTTGCATAAATTGATAGGGTCAATACGAAACTGAGGAAGCTTATTCGACTTGAAAAGTCGATGAGCTTCAAGGGTTTAATAGCTCGAAAAATTACACGTCCAATGAGCATGAAATTCTGAACAAATTTTTATCGGGCGAACGTAGCTCTCGCCGTCTCTTGTCATAAAAATCACTAAAAATCATTCCAGCCAGCAGTGCTTTCATATCCATTCAAAGTCGCACCTCGGTAAGAGGTCATACACATTGGTTCTGCACTGGAAACGAAAGTGCAATTGCTCCCAAGAAAGGCATGGACGCAGGAGAGGAGGATCGTATTGCACAAAGCAGATGAAATCAAGAGAGACGCGAGAGAGACACGAGACGTTGAATTGGGTCGACGCATCTTTTTTTTTTTCTTTTTTTTTTTTTGTCGCCTCGGAAGAAGGAAGGAGTGAAAGTGCAACTTGGTTCATTTTGTCTATGTTTCGCATGTCAAAACTGATCATTAAGCGGTATCAGATTTCTCGATATTCTGCTTTTTCGTCGGATTTCGTAAGCATTTGAGAAAGAATAACAGCGATGATTCCATAATGAGATTGTGCATGACTTTTTTCCAAAATAAGAATACCAGTGATGTTATGTAATCGGCGAGACGAGTTACTAAATTTGGATAAAATATCGGTGAAAGAATTTACTGCAAACGGATGAAATTCACTAATAGATCTGATAATGAATGGTCCAAAATTTATTTTAAAGTTAATCATTTGTACATTTTGACGATTCTCAAGAATATTTATTAATATAATTTTCATATAATACAAATCAATTTTTCTATTCATTAAAAACACTGGCAAACGATTAATTAAATAAAAAAAAATACTTTATGATTAATAAATAGATTATAATTGAATGTATCATAGAATATAACTTTTTGCTTGAATTTTGCCTCTCTAAATCATTTTATAAGAACTTTTGAACAATTATTCTATAAATTTTAAGCGACTTTTGAAGATATAAATTACTCGCAATCTAAAAATGAAGTGTCCAATGTAATGATTAAAAAATGATAAATTATTTAAATATGACTTTTAAGTTTCATGAACATTTTAAGATAGAATTTATTAATTATAATGACGTTCGCAATATTATAATCAATTACTCCAATGATCCGAAATATATTTATCTCATGTTAAAACGAAATATTTTTTAAAAAATTTTTCAAACTAATTAAAATTAAATGGAAATAAATATCAATTGAACGAATTAAAAATGTTCAACCAAATTTTTTTTTTTCTATTCTATTATAAACATCGAGTTTTAATTTTACTATGTTTATTAACTATTTACTATTTATTATTAAATATTTATATAATTTTAACCGAGTCTTTGTCATTATTTATAATTCGTTCCAATACATTATATAAAATAATTTTAAGACTGTATATGACTATTGATATTTATTGATTTTTAATTAAAAAGTTTGTATAAATTAAGATGAATTAATTATAGATTTACTTGATTGACTTTAGAAAGCTTTTACAGAGTTTATATAATATTAAATTTGTATTTACTTAAAAAAAAAAAAATATGCGATGGAAAATCAGTAGAAATAGTTTAACGCGATTAATGGGATAATTTTCCATCTAATCTCAAATATCAATCAATGTTCTTCCGCATCGGGTCAAATTATTTTTCCGGCTAAGCTTATCATCATATAAGTAGTCATCGATAAAAAAAAATAACTATCACAAAACACATTTAACACCTCTCGCATATAAATCACATTCATTTTTTGTTAAGTCAAATATGCAAGCCTGTTAACCTGTATTTGAAATAATTAAAAAGTGTCAAAATCCTATCTTAAATACTAAATAAAATAAATTAACATCTCGAGTCAATTAAGTACGCAAAAGAATAAAAAAAAAAGAAGTTCTGTATTCTCTTGCTGTACATATCAATGTACGTAATTTGATACACTAGTGAATCTGAAAGACTTCATTAATCTTCTACCTATAAAATCCTGTCGGTATTCAACAATTACATATATATATATATATGTATATATGTATGTATATGAGGTCTCTTTGGAAATATAAAAATTTGCTTTTCGTTGTCGGCATCGTCTGCAAGATAAATAATACTCGTGAAATTTGCGTTTCCAGCTCTCTATCCTTTATCCAGCTTGTGCCTCTTTGTAAATCATGTCGTCCCTCTTTCCCATGCTCTTTACACCTCACCGACTCACCTGGCTCTCGATACCCCTCCCCCATCACGCCCCTACCGTCACCCGCTCATTTCTCTTTAGTATGAGAGTTAGACTTCGATTTTACAAATGTAAAATATCGTCACCAGCTACCTGATTGTTCCTAAAATCCTCTTTCTGTTTCTTTTCTTTATTTTTTAATTCTCGTCTTAAAAATGGCAAATGTTAAAAATGTATTTCTCATAAATGCGATTAAATACTTTATCGAAATTTTTTCTTTAAAAATGTCAGAAACTTAATTGATGTATAATTTAAGTTAAAGTAAGCATTGAATCGAAATTAAAATTTACACAGAAATTAGTTGTTTTTTTTTTTTTTTTATTAATCGACGATTATATTAATTTTATTTCACCGAATGAGAATAAAAAGTTTTAAAGAAATTTTCAATAATCCAAATATAAACACATAAAATCCAATCTTATAAAATTTATAATATTTTTTTTATTTTTTTTATAATTAATACCGAATTTATATAAGTTCCTTTTAATGATTTATTAATTATTATTAATTAATATTAATATTAATTAGTATATTAGCAACTACTATATATTATAATGATTCTTATAGAGAGAACTAATAATAAGTAAATTTTATCAAAAATTTATATTTTTTACATTCCGGTAATCCATATTTTAACACTAACAAATTAAAATAATAATAATTGTAAAATATTTACATCCCAAGATGAAACTTTTTTCTATTAGTTCTTTTAATTATTCTTTTATTTATTAAATAAAAATTTAATAATAAAATTTTATTTAGAAAAATTATGAGTTTAAATTAATGGTAAAGTAGGCTTAATACGGTATAATTAAAGTAAATCGCTATTATTGTCTTTCAACCTACTTAAATAATATTTGAAGTATTGAATTCGCACACAAACATATTTAAACTAATATTTCAATTAGATGAATTAATGCTTAAATTTAAATTTAAATTTAAGCGAATAGATATTATAATTATATAATTATGGACAATTAATATATGTGTTGTATTATATTGTGTGAATATTGGTATGTCAATGTGAAATATATCGTACAACAATTAGTCATTCTATTTTATGATATAAAATTAAATTTTAATATACATAATATTATCTATAATATGATGAATTTATAAATATTATATATTTCTATTGGTAATAATTAAATCATAATTTTCCGTCAAAGTTCTTATAAATTTTGTAAATAATGTTCGATCGTTGTAGAGGAAGAAGTTTTTTTAATCTTTAAATACCAAATATTATAATGAAAATATTTTTTATACATGTTTCAGATAGTAAAATTACAATTCTCGGAGCTTTATTTTATTTATTTATTTATTTATTTTTATTTTTTTTTTTTATTTATTTATTTATTTTTTTTTTTTGTTAAAAAAAAAAGCATCACAAACTAATCCGTTGGAATGGCAACTTGTTTTGTTCTCAGAATTTATTTTAATTGCGAATTAATTGTTTACGAATGGTGCAAGATGTCGAATTTATCGTAGGAGAATTTGAAATTAAAATAGCCGAGAAGGACTTATGAGATACATGCCAATGTCAAATTCCATATGTAGCGGTCAGTAAAAGTAGGCGTTCCATCGCCGTATACTTATCACGAATGCTTGATAACTAGCAATTTTCTCGTCCTTAAAAAATTAATTAAAACCTCCATGAAAAACTTTCCTTAAAATAGCAAATGATACTACTATAATTTCATTGAGATATTAATATATTATGCCGTGACGAGTACCAAATATGATCTCTTGAAGGACGTGATAAACAATTTAGTGGTATCGTGCATAAGCTCGTGCACAAATGGCATTTTATTGCCAAAGGCGAATGCTCTTCTACCTTCTCAAGAACACTTACGGTACCCTGCCACGTCTATTTCATCAAAGATGCGCATATCCAGCATCACGTTATTATATATTACCGTGTCGTTCACATTTGTTCGTAAACACGTGCTTCACCTACGTATTTCCCGATGCACTTTCTAACGCGGCAACACTTATCTCACGTACTCATTTTCTCCGTCTTCTCGCGCACTCGTTCTACTCGCAATTGTCGAAGCTACAAATGCTCTTAGCGAAATCAGCCAGTGGCATTCGACTGATCGATCGTCAAGTAACGATTGAAAATAATTAGTGAGACGGTAGATAGATAGATAGATAGATAGATAGATAGATAGAGAAATAAATTTATAGAGGAAGAGTGATAGGATCCAACGCAGAAGGCACTGACCAGGACGGAGCGCATGTTCTTGTCCTCGTGCGGCGACCTGCTCGCGATGATGGAGACGAAAAGTGGCGGAGATCCCCCAGGAATCGGCTCGTGCAAGCACTATCTTTATCTAGACTCTTCTGACGAATTTCTGGTTACATGCCCATGCTTTTATACGACTCTCTCGTCTAGGTTCAAGGTGGGGCGGCGAGTCGCGCGTAACTGCCCGCTGCCCCTCTCTCCCTCATCTTTCATCATTTATTTGTGTGTATAGATATATATATATATATATATATATATATATATATTTGTTGTTTTTTTTCTCTTTCTTTTTGTTGCTTGTACCTTCTTTTTTTATTCCTCCTCATCCGGGGGTGGAGAAAGAGAAGAAGGGGGCGGAGGGACAGGGAGTCGATGTGCAGGCGTCTCGTCCTTTTTCGAGATCGAAAGGAAGGTCGCGCCGAGGAGAAAGGGACCGGAACGCCTTAAGTTTCCAATCTCGAGGATAAGGAGAAAGAGAAGGAGTGAGTGGGTGAAAGAGAGAAAGAGAGAAAGAGAGAGAGAGAGAGAGAGAGAGAGAGAGAGAGAGAGACAGAGAGAGAATATTTACGGTGACTTGGGTCTTTTTTTTTTATATTTTTTTTATCGGTAGCATTGCGAAAGACGGCTTGTTGATCGGGAGGATACGTGCGATGCCGGATTTCCCATAAATGTTCGTGAGACCCGGGAGGCGCATTAATGCGAAACTCGAGGCAACTAGGAATTTGCGAGTGGAGATTAACCATGACTTTGGATATCTGAAGTAGATGGGTCCGCAGTTCCGTGAACTTATTTCATATTATAAATTCGTTTCCAATTTTGTATATTACGCAGTTATTATTGCTCAAATGTAAAATATTATGCGAAATTTATTTCTAACGATATTTCCCATTAAAACGGAATTACGAAGATAAATGGTCACATTAAACTATTCTAATCTATGCATACAAAGTATACAAAATTATTTATTTGTATATTAGCTCTGTTCTTTTAGCTTGTTTAACCCTTTATAAAAATTGTAAGTAATATCTATTACGTGTTGTAAACATAAATTGTGAAGTATTTCAATGGAATAATTTTTATAAAGAATTGAATACCGTAAAATTGCTCCATTTCACGGGAAATCACTTTTTGCGTGCATTTATACATTTCAATTAAGACGAAGATCAATATTCTTGGAAATAATAACCTGTATCATTAATTATGAAATTTGCAATTCTCTTATAATTTGAACTGTAAATTTTTAGTAATAAAATATGTACTACATTACAAACATTGACTATTATATTTTATCAATTAGAAGTATATTCTTACGAGTTAAAATTTATAAATATCGTCGTAGGAATGAAATTTCATTTTACGTTTTTTAGATTTTTTCCCCCTATAAATTAATGAAATTTTATCGTAATTTCATTGATTGCATCATCGAGTTAATCTCTCTCTCTCTCTCTCTCTCTCTCTCTCTCTATATATATATATATATATATATATATATATATAATAGAAAAATTAATCTACATATATATAATATTGCATAAATTTATAGATATCGTTACTTACTGGATGATACTTACTAACTATAAAAGCTATGCAAGAATCAATTTAATAAATTCGAAGTAAATTTGTTCTAAATTCATAATTAAATAAACATGTTTTTAAACGTTTAGAAATACATGTGTGCGGAATTTAATGTTTCGAAATAAAAATTTGAATTAATCAATAACTATAAATGTCATGAAATATTCAGTAAATTCTTTAAGCAATAATACTGTTGATACTTTAATCAAGAGATATTTACTTGAAATAGCAAAATGCTTGGTTTATATTTCATCTAAAAGGCTGTAATATAATTTCAATTATTTCATTGAAATAAGTATTAACAAGAAATACAACATCTAAATTTTGAAGAATTTTATTGTACAAATTCTTAGATAATCCTAGTTGCATCTAAAAATTATTATACATTACGTAGAGTGAAAAGTAAAAGCAAGAGACAAAAGTGGACAATTCAGAAAAATAAAGAAGATGAGTAAGTACAAGTTTTGCAAGATCGGAACCAGTAGGATATAATTCTATGTTAACATGGGAGTTCTAAAAATAGTTGAGCGACTCTTTGTAAAACGCGACTGCAAAATTCACGTGTTTCTGCCAGACTTCTGAATTTTCTTTAATTATAAATCGCACTTTCTCTTTTCCTTACATTTATATTTTCAAATAAACTGGAAAGTAATATTTCACGTTTTTCTTAATATTTTTCAATCTGTAGAAAGGAGGATGTCCATGAAATATAATTCTTAGGGAAAGTTATGAAATTTATACTGTCATTAGAACGTAATATTTTATTTTTATAATTAACACTTACTTTTGAAGAAATAATTAAAACAAAGACAAAAACTTACTTAGCTAATTAAGGATCTATATGAATATAAATATACGAGTAATAACACAAAGATTCTCATATTAAATAAACTTTTCATAATAATGTCTTATTTTACCTGCTAATATAAATTCAAAATCAATTATTAACAAACATAAGCTCATTCGATGATTAATGGATGATTAATTCATGTCTTATTGCGTTCAATCTGTCGACTTGAAAGATAATGTTGTAACTAAAGCCTCATCGGATGAACATATCTAATAAATACTTATACAACATCTAAATAATATAATACGTGTGTTTAGTGTTAGTCGAAGCCATAAAGTTTTTAATTTTAAATCTTTACATGTATTAAATGTATATTAGAGTATAATTATAACTTTTGAATTTAAATAAATATTTAAACAATGTGTCAATTGGTAAAAAATAATTTATGCTAATTAAATTATAATTTATTCATAGGAACATATTAATATCGTATAAATTGATATTTAATTTTTTAAAGAATATTTTGATATCTTAAACAAAAATTTATTTAAAAAAAAAATTACTCTTAAGTTCCGAATAAACAATACAGTCTACTAAAGCAAATTTAAATATTAATAAATACATCAACGTCAAGATGAATGGAAGAAAATTATATATTACATTCTGTTTAAATTACCGATATTACTTGTTATTATCTTTATGCAATTACTCCGATTATCTTCTTCTTGAAAATGCCGCTGTTGAGGCTATTCTCTTTAATTTTTGGTTACATCGGTGAAAGAAATCGCTCGAAACGTACAATAAAAAGAATATGTATTAATTACGTTACCCAACGATCACATATAGACAACATTTTCTTGTGTCTGTCATTCGATCAAAATGTGCATGTCACAATTTATATACAGAAAAAGGCATTAAAATCCTTTCCATCGCCAGACAGTTCGAAATAAAAACTGTTCGCAACAAAAGTGAAAAAAAATTAAAAAAAAAAAAACCGAAAAAAAAAAACGAAAGCTCTGGTACGAGCTTCGGCTCCTTTGTGCGGTAACTGCCGATTCTACGAGCTATCAAGATTGAAAGGGATGGTTACGATGTGGCGCCTCCACTTTCACTCTCCGTTTTCTGGTGAAAAGTGCGTTATCGTGCGTCTTTTCGCCAGCCCATCAAAGCAAAAAACGTCAATTGATATTGTAAACGGACTAGCGCCGATTTTTTCAGCATTTATCCAAGAAAAAATGAATGTTTCAACACTATTATCTATACGTCACAAAATTTTTTATGGAATTAATGACCATTTGCCATCTACGAATAATGTGAAAAAATTCAGTCGTACTTTCTTGTTCGTCGCGCTTTTTTTCGATTCTACCGTCACTTATATAAATCATAATTATACATTTACCTATACATAATTATACATTTAATAAGAATTTATCTAATTCGGGGAATTAATTACTCGTGGAAAAAAAAATTGCATTTAAAATAAAATCAATTACTATAATAAATGATGGCTGATAAGGTTTATAATATAAGTGATGATTAATATGCACGTTATACTTGCATTAAAATCATTGTATTGCATTTTTATCTTACTTTTCTTTTTTCATTATTATTCATATTTAACGATAATCTTAATGCTTATTAATTTTTAATTTCAATATTACTTTTCTTCTCTACATTACTTTAGATGAAAAAAAAGTTATAGTAATTCTTTAACTGTGCTAAGGATGATTAATGCGAGTGCACACAATTAATGCAAAAGCACTTAATAACGTATAGCTAACCTTTTAAATTTATCACAACAATATAAATAAATTGTACATGAAATTAAATAGAATTATATGAACAATTAAAAAAAAAAAAATATATATATATATATATATATACATATATCCATAACCATGAAAATTATTGTAGTACATTAAGGACCTTATCTGCTTTAATTATCAAGAATTCTCAGCTTCATATTTATATTATTTAGCTTGTAACAAAGAATTATTATACCCCTTGATTCTCCTTATTCTCCTATTCTCCTTACCTACAAACCATATTTACACATAGCGGCATATATTAGAGACTTCATTTGAATACAAAATGACGTTGTTTTTGTCAGAATGGTTTCATATAGTCTGCGCATGAATTCACGATAATGCCACTCTCGGCAAACTTACACGGACTTAAAACAATAAAAAAAAGACAAAGAAGAATAAGAAGAAGAAGAAGAAGAAGAAGAAGGAGAAGAAAAAAGGAAGAGAATAAATAACAGAAAAGTTGAAAAAACAAAAAAAGAATGAAGAAATCCTGACGGGGAAGAGACAGAAGCCAGTGCAAAGCGCGACGTTGCGAGGTAGCAAGCGGCGCTTTATTTGCACCTGTAATTTACAAGACGAAGCGCATGTATGTGCATCTCACATCATATGCCATAACCACACGAATTTTTAATTAAGTACGCAAGCGCGAGCTACGTGAACTGCTGCGGTATTTCCAGCTTTCGCTTTTTTCCTTCCTTCTTTTCTTCCATTGTCCTGAATGTTTATTGTCGACAGAAATTGCTTGTAGATGACTTGTTGCAGTTGATGCCTTTCGAATCGCCACCGTAGAATTGTTGAAAAGGAAGATATTATTTTCTTACTAGAACTTTCATTTGGCTTTTATATACTTAAAATTTGTATAATTGGCGAATAATTGATTATTATCGACATCATTCGACTTTACGTGAAAAATTA